AGCAATATTAATTACATTTAGTGTCCAAGAAACTACATCCCAATGCTTTTTATGTATGCTATTGCTACTAAAAATGAAAGGCCTCTTCAGCATACAGTGATAACGGGAGGTAATGACTCTCAACATAATACAATAAACAAATCTACAGCTTCCATAATCCACTGCAATGGAGAACATTTTTAAGATCATTGCTGGCATTACAGTAGCTGGAGCCAAATGGATATTATCAAGGTTGAAACTCCCACAGTCTAACAACATGCCTTTTATTTTACTCACCTCCCTTACAGATCTCTTTTTTTCATGTTTTTTTTACATGAAGTAAAAAAAAAAGAGAACCTACATGTATATATTCAGCTACATCAGGAAAAAACAACAAGTGAACTACACATGAAAACACAAGAAAATGCTGGTTGTGATCAAGGAGCACTGCATTGCCATGTATCTAGAAGTAGACTAAAATCTTTTGTATACAAATAAAACATGGTCATTCACTACACCTAATCTGTCTTTTTAAGCACTTAAGGAATGTAAAAGCATCCCTGCACATCAAATGATCACCTAAGCAAATCGTTTTTCATTTACTCCACACATAATACTAAATATTAACATAATCTTTATCATAATACCCCTCCCCTGTCATTGTCTTTCCCAAAACTTCGCCAGTCAGCAAAGTCTAATAAACTCAGGAAAGTGCAACTGACATATAAACTCCATCAAGTAAAAAGACAGAGTAAAATGTTTTTACAAAATTTAGGAAAGTCCAACTTGTTTCTATGAAGGTCCCAGAGTTCCACAGTAACCAATTTTATAAATCGAAGGGAAAAGATCAATTTAACTGTGGTTGTTACTCCAAAACATTGTTCTGAAATTTACTTTAAAAGTAGATATAGTTCTGTTCTCATAACCAACAAAAACTGAAGTAAAGTGCATTTCCACAATATGCCAAGACAAATCTACATATTTTATCAAAGGCAAAAACTCAAATAATTGTAACACCTTATGTATTCAAGATTGATTACTTAAATGATAGCAAAATGTCTGCAAAAGTATATTTAATCATTTTTAAGGTTTTCCATACAAGCTTTGGAAATCTTGAGAAAAACTTTATTTAAAGCATCTAAATGTTTGTGCTAAACCCTTGTGGGTACATACTATTATTTGAAGCTTGTTTATAACAACAATAATTTGTTTTAGCCGTCTGAAATCGGCAAAATGCATTTTTATCCTTATTTCTAATACATATGTGAAACATAGAAAATTCTATGTCCACAGGACCTGGAGGACTCTATTTTGATGAAACGGTACTGAAACAGTTTTTTTTTTCTCATGTTCACTAGTAAACACAGGATTTTCAATACTCTTCCAAATCAATCCAGTCTTAATACTCAGCACATTATTGACAGTGACTTAATTTGTGGCACCTTTCCATCTTAACAGCTTCTCCTACATGGTAAATCAAAACAATGCTACATTTTCAAGGAAAAAAAAGTAAAGAGTCTCAGCAGGTGTTACAGCTTTTCAGAATGAATGTCAGTGCAGTGAGTTATTTTTCTCTATAATATGTCAAATATGCTTTTAGTGATTCAGGTAAAGGCAAAGTCATGATTTTTTCTCTGAGAATATTCTGGGGAGGTTCTTCTTGCTTCAAGCCCTCATTGCTATCTTTTTCTTCCTCTTCTTTATTATCTTCCTCCATTCTTTCATCTTCTTCACTCTCTACAGGTTGAGGGATGAGCTGGTTTCCCACAAAAACATATGTATTGATCCGATGCCTGCGGCACCGTCTTCTTTTGCGTTTCTGGGGCATTTTCTGGGGTGTGCCTTTGGCCTGCATCTCCTCATTAATCAAGTTTCTAAGCGTGCGGCGAATGTAAATGCGAGACAAATCCTGCAGGTTTCTTACAGAGACTGGGGCTGAAAGACACAAAGGGAACTTTTAGTGTTTAATGATGCACACAAATATTTTATTTCAGTCTGGCAATCCGATTTCCAAGACAAACGCTATTAGTAATGTTTTTGAGTGGTCAGACATAAAAAAAGCTTCAATTGTGTGTCACAATACTGACTGTTTAACAAGTCTAGTAATGGCTGCATATCTCAATAAATCATCTTTGCTTTGTCACTTAACCAGGGAATTTAATTTGCCTTTACATTTTCAGAGCATTAAGTTTACAAACCTCTATGAAGAAGGCCCTAAATACAAATACAATCACTAAAAACTACACTTTGTACAAAGTAAAAGTCCCACAGTAAACAATGGAGACAATGTACAGGGGTCTTTTCATAGTCACCAAAAATGCATGAAATGGACACAAGATGGCTCTCTTTGTGCGCCTGCAAAGAGTTTGTAAATCATTTGCATGTTGTTATCTTTTAATCAGATATTTGAAAACTTTGTATTTTCCTATGTCCAGCTCCTTATTCTTCTCAAGTTGGTTACTTGTGTACAGGTACATGAAAATATACTAGCACCCTTTATTTCAAACAATGTTTTCACGTATTAATTTAATTCATTTCAATTTTAAGGAGCTTACAGCCAAGGAATACAAAGTCATCTTTGGGGACCTTGCGCACTCTATAATGAAGATGTTGTTTCCCATATTCCAAGATAATAATGCCCCCATACACACTGCTAAAAAGATTCAAGAATGATTTCATGAACGCTAGGATGAAGTCAAACACCTTTCATGGCCTCCCCTATCATGAGATATAAACTTTAGTGAACCTTTATACGAAGGTCTGAAACACAGAGTGCAGAGTAGATTTCCACCACCTTTATCTCCCAAAGAACTGGAGGCCTTCTTGTTGAAAAATGCCCAACTAGAAACAGTTCATAAACTTGCGTAACAGTATTCCAATAAGTAATGAAGGTTCTGAAGGGAGAAGGTCACACAATCTCTGATTAGTTAATACATATTTAGTATTGCTTGTTGTTTACATTATGTTGGCTACACTCTGTACTTCTGCAATACATAATTAACAGAAGTACTACACAGTGAATAGTATTGCTTTAAATGAATAGTGTTGATCATTAATAAGATTATTTTTGCTTCAAACATATTATATACATGTTCTGTATATTTATCCATAAATATAAAATTACTGTATTTGGTCACGTACTGTATGAGAAAACTAAATCCAATTGGTGAGACCTGATCAACAACATCTTAAGAGTTATAACCTAATCAGTTTCAAACAGCTGGTAAAAATAGGCTAAAGAATACCCCCCTTTTCAAACCCTTTGCTCACAATGAAAGCAAGTTGAAAAATCAAAACAAAACAATAAATAAAATAACTATTACAAGAACCAATTAGTAATAACTAAAAGAGTGCCTAGGAGAGATGCAATGACAAACATGTATCTTACTAAAAATGGAAATTAGTGTATGGGTTTGGTCTGAGGAACATAAAGCACATCAAGCTTGTTTCACCTCGATCTGCAAATGGAATAAAAAGCAGTTTTACTCCAGGGATAAAATGCACTAGAAACTTACGTAGCTTTACAGTCTCTGGCTTGTTTCCATCTGTTCTGTTTGGCTGAACAAGAGGTGCAAATGATACAGCAAGGATATTTTTGCTTTCCCATGTGCTCTGACCTGTCCTTGTTATCTGAGTCAGCTGTTAAAAAGAGGGAAAAATGGCTGTGACATACATTTCCTTTTCCAATAGCTTCTACAACCAATAGAAGTATTTTTTTATATAAATGTCCATGGAAATCTGTTGATTTGATTAATAACTCAAAATCGAGATGAGAGAAAAACAAAAATGGCATTTTATTGTCATATGCCTGATTTATTTTTGATATTACAAATGCAAACTGTGAAAGATAATCACTCCTCCATGAGGCAGCCAATTTATATAAAGAATGTCAGAAGTCCCTGAAGTTGGGTGGCAAGAAATGTGTAGAAGAGTACAGATTCGAGATTAAACATTTCCATGCCTAGGTAGCCAAAGTTATCCTTAATTTCCATTCAACAGAAACCCCTGTATTCTGGCCTTGATCCTACATGTTTGCTGTATTATTAATGATAGATACACCTGTCTACCCGCTATCTCTAAGAGGTTGATAGTTGGACAGGTGCACAACTCAAAGGATCCGTATACAATCATCTTTTTTAGTTGTTCATGTACAAGCATAGTTACATCATAACTCAATGATTAAGTACTAGTAATGCCAAATAAGGAGAAAGGATAATAAAAAAGAATAGCTAATTCTTAAAATAAAAACATAAAATGTATTTATTCTACATCTATTTTGAAATAATTTCTCAATGACAAATGGCTTCATTAGCAGTTTGATGATATTTTCCATACGAAATATTACAGGCTTGTGTTTTTCCAATATTAAGATAATTGTTTTATACAATCTTATACAATCTTTGGGATACTGTGAAATTATCAAGATATATAGTGTTTGAAATAGCTGTGTAACTTTAAAAGCAAAAATGCAGATTATTCCACAAATCTGAATTTGGTGTTAATCCACTAAACTAAAAGAAAAGAAAGTGGACTAAAAACAAGTTTAAACATGATGATATAGTATCTGACAGCCAAATAAATTCACCTGATCCTCTATTGGCATGACAAGAATGCCACCAACTTTAAGTAAGATTTTCATGTAGTTCTCATGATCCTTCTGTACTCCTGCTCCACAGTAGATACGGTCGTACTGATGACTGTCTGAAGAAATTTCTAAGCAATTCCCAACTACAAAGCTGGGTTCGCAAAACTCAAATCTGCAATAAACAAAAAGATTTTAAAAAACTATTTATGAGATAATTGGTGCAACATAAAAATATTTTGTTCCTAAAATAAAAAATGATAAAAAGTAAAGACTTTGGAATCACATGAGACCTGTTAGCAGCATTATAAGTAACATAGTGAATAGTTGACTTGAAATAACTGCAAGTCTTCATTTTGCCATAAACAGCTTTGTATTAGTATTAAAAAACATTGCAGCCAGCAAAACATATGATTCACATGACTAAATGGGCAAAAATAGATACAGATATGCTACTTAGTTTGACAGAATGCCAAGAAAATACAAAATTGAGGTTGTATATACTGGAATGGGGGGATATTGGCTTTATTTACTTTTGAAAAAAAAAATAAAGCTCATCAAGCTAATGTGATTTCTTCAGTATGTTTATGTGTCTGCAGAATAATGACTAGGACTGATATACACCATCACTGTCAAAATATTAGAAAGATTCTTTGTGCTCACTTTTTAACCCTGTTTGGTAAATACATTTGTGTCATATAATCTAAACAAATAATATTTTTTCTTTTAATCTAATTCATGAAAGTAATTGAAGTGATATTAGTACTTATCATAAAAAAATAAGAAATGTTACAAATGAGACTTAGCCCATTGAGCCTTTTAGGTAATTTACAGCTCATTGATCCACTGGCTTTAAAAACATTTTCGATAGTTTATTCCATACTCCTACAACACTTTACATAAAGAAGGGTCTTTGCAAGATGTTAGTGCCACCAGCCATCTCAAACTTTGTCCACAAATCAGAAATAAAAAATCAGTTGTAAAGCTTATGGGTGCAGGCCAGTTTTTTCCAAAACCTGTGCAGAATAAGTTTACAGACCAATAAGACCAATGGACAAACAGCACAGAACAGCATAGCTTTATACTGTACTTACTTATCAAAGCTATCGCTATTCTTAATAAAGTCATCCAGTTTTTCCTTGGCATATTCCACAACATCAGTATGCAGCTCAACACCATGATTAACACCAAATGGACCTGAAATAAGAAGGAAATTAAAGCTGGACTGTAAAACCTATCACACAAAAACAGTTTTCTATCTGATATCCCATTACATTTAGTAATGTAAACGGATATGCATGATCATCTTGTTAAATGCAAAGACATTTGCTCCCCACAGCTTTGATAATGTACAGGTTAGTGGATCAGAAATAAAATGATCATTTTACAAATCTAAAGTATCTTTACACTTAAAATACTTTTAAGCCTATACACAGGCTTAATACATTTTAAAGCACAACAATTCACAGTAAGTTCATTCTGACTTTAGTTAATACAGTTATTTTATCATTTTGAAAACCTGCAAAACAGGTTCATGAATTTAAATATTGAAACTTAATTGAAAGTTTGAAACTTAATTGAAATATTGAAAGTTTGGAACCTCTTGCAAAATAAAGCATTTTTAATTTTTTTGTGCAAGAACAAAACAAGTAAAATTTGTCACAGTGGCATGAAACTGACTGTACCTACTGGGTTTATATCATGTTGACAAATAACTTAACTTTGTTACCTATGTTAAGATTAATTTTTGTTCAATCACCAGCCCAAAAGCTACTGCTACCTCTAAATTCATTTTAATGGGTTTCACATTTGTTTCCAAATAAAAGTTTTCAACAGAATTACTGAAAAGCAATTTCTTTGATTTCTAAAAAGTAAACAGCTGTTACGTCTGGTATTCAGAAAAACCTGTGACAAACAAAACATGTATAACACTTATATTACATAAATCACATAAAGCAGCCAAGACTCCTGAATGCATATACATGCTGAATCACACTTACAGCATGTACTGTGAACATTACAAGAACAGCAAAATAAAATGTGTGTTCAAGCCAGAGACATCTTATTTACTCCATATAATTTAGCTTCACCCAGAAAATGCCTTTTCTTTTCAAACAAGCTGTGTCTCTTGTTTTTAAAATAAGCTTTGGGAAATAAAATTTGTGAAAAGCAGTTACGGTAGGTAAAAACATGTCAAACTGATGAGGTTCCATGTTGGATTGGGTTCCCATAAAGATACTTCAGTAAGTATGGGACTTTAATTCTGCACTACATACAATCTTTACTGGTGCCTTATAAATCTATCATCTGCATAGTGTGAAAGCAGCTGTTAAATATACTCACGCTCGTTCTTTGATATTTAAGTCTGTTCCAAGCTAGTGCGGTACTACATGAGTAGAATTGTTTGCTTGAGTTTCAATTAATACCAACCCATCTGGGAATCAAATTCAAAAATAGTCTTTGCTTTTTACGTTCTTTAAGCCATAGAACAACATTGGCTTTTATTAATTTTTTAACAGTCCGAGGCACTTTCATAACTGCCACTGATAAAATGACCAAAATGGAAAAAAAACAAAATGAACTAATCACCTCTGACCCCAGTTGAACTGATAAACAATATAAGCAAAATTTATATCTGTGATTTTGTTGAAGGACTAAGTTGCTTTGTTCTGGATTTTTTGAAGAACGTGAATGTTATTGCATATTTTAGAACTTTGCTAATCTTGTACAAGTAATAACTAGTGCATACACTTGCTTGTTAGTACAGGCAGCTGTAGGACATTTCCAGCAGTTTTAATATTCTATTGCTCAAATTTGATGAGTGACAATACTGTAAAACAATGATTTACTGATAAACTCTAGACAAGGAAACAAGCAATACCCAAGAATATAACAGTTCTGGTCTCAGACAACATGTACAAAGGAACAGGTTTAAATTGTTAAAAAATTAAGTGTATAAAACAAAAATAAAGATTAGTAGGATACAAGGCAGATGGCACCCAAAGCACATGAGTATTTAGTCAATTTATATTTTATATGGCTAAAAGTCTTGCATAAATCTTTTTTTCCCTAATAGAGTGAATACATGGTATGAAGCATTTGAATTCTCTGATGCTACATTTCATGATGACAAATGGAATACAGACACTTATTTGGCATTTGGCCACATCTGCTAGTATAGATGAATATAGATATTCTTGTCTACCACAACACTTAGCCTTACTTCAGTGCTTAGAGAGAATCCAATTCCTGTCATTAAGTGATTAGTATACATTTTTGTATTTTCTCATTCATTTAATATTGATAATAAAGAAAGGTTATTGCAGTTATTTAAGAATCATATTTCTGAAATTTTAATTAATGTTAGTTACAACACTGACAGATTTCATATCAACAATAATTAATATTTTCTCTCCATTGGACTACAGCAATCATGTTTCTGTGCTCAATGTGCTATACAGTATACCTTGACTTACAGGTGTGTAATAACAAGTGAAATATTTTTCTTAAGGAAACTGTCAACATGGACCAAAGGATTGTGCAAATGGCCCAAAAAACAACCTCCATATTTCCATGGAAAATTCACATTTTCACATGAGATTTAAGAAAATGCTTATGAAACCATGTACATTTTATGGGACAATGGTAAGATTCACACACAGTTGCCTCCCCTTAAGCCCTAAGAAAACTATTTAGTTGAATCTGCAAGTCACCATAGACTAAAGATGGTTGCAGGTAAGATGATATTAGCTATATACCGATCAGACTGATATAGCCAGTAACTTGTATAATATATATTATTAATTTATTATAAAATAATAATTTCCTTATCTTATATTAATTGACAAAACAACCTGTATCCTATACATAACTGTGTGTACAAAGTTGATTTATTGCCACAGAGAGGCACTGTGCATCAACAATTCACATACTGAAATTAAAGCTTGGCTCCTAAAGGACTTATTAAACAAGACAAATGTGGTGAATAACATTTTTTAGCATGTCAAGTTTCCTTTCCCGTTAAACAAAATAATATCATGTACACATATTAATTTCAAGCACAGAACAAAAGGCGAATAAACATTACAAATTAAAATCTTTCAATTTTTTTTTCAAAACAGATCACATTTTGAGTAAAGAGCTGAAAAAACAATCGCACATTATTTGGTTAATAATTGCTCAAGTACCACTTTTTGGTAAACCAACATTTCTTTTGATTTTATCCTTCACTTATTCATTTCTCCACCATTATGAGATAAACATTGCATTCTTTATGTGTTCTTTAGTTCTTCAGTGCATTTTTATTTGCCATTTAAGTACTTATTTCGAAACAACATTTCCAATTTATTTTTAGAACATTTCATTCTACAGTTACTGTCAGATGGTGGTAACTGTCTGTAAACAGAAAGATATATTTCGTACAAAACCTATTAACATCGGAGAATTGCTAAATATATTTTTAAATGATCAGAATATGAAATAAGCCTTCATATTTTAATAGTACGCATTAATGGGGCATTGTACAGGTAGTTTTATTATAAAGCTAACTTATAAATCTTCAAAAGAACAATTAAGAAAATATAGAACTCACAGCTTTCCTGTTCTTTTAACTGCTTTAATGCTTTCAACTGCGACTGTTTTTAATATGCATTACAACATTACTCCTTGGTTATTGAGGGCTGCTAAAACACTGAGTACATTTATGGAATACGCCTTTATTGATTTAAGAATGTTTACTTTTATGAGTTATAGTCCTTTTTACAAGCCCATAAGGCCTATATTCAATTTATTTTAAACACAAGCATCTGTTTCATTACAATTATCGTGGTTAATGACTCAAAGTCCATCAGACCATCTTCTGAACATTTGGCTAAATCACAATGTTTTGAAATTGTACCAAACCTTAGATTCATCATAATATCTAATCCTAAACTAACCATCAGATTTTATGGCTTAATTTTATAGTACAACTGTAACCTTAAAGTTACTTGTTCCTTTGCATTCTACGCATGCTGATGCAGCCACCTTCTTGAACTACCTCTTAACACACAGTAGTCTGATCTCACTAAATCTCAGAAACTAAGCTTCTGTGACTGTGCCTTGTCTTTTCCGGGATGGGAAACCTTTACAGAAAATCAGGCTGTTGGTCTTACCAAACCAATAGCCCAGTACTGTCACCAAATATGGCTACAGAGGATTCAATGCTGTAAAAGATACCATCCTTCAATTAAGACATTAAACCAATGTTCTGATTACCTTGTCATTAAAGATCCCATAGCACTGTTCATACTGTAAGTATAGGGGTATTAGCCCCACTGTGCAATGTGCCGAAATCCAATGTAGGAATACACAATCTGACCTACTCATAATTTCTCCCTTAAATCAACTGAACAAGTAATTTCTTCTCAACCTATATGCTTTATAGCAGGTCTGTTAGTGTATACTGGCTGCTATGTACCAACAGAAAACTTCAGTGGTGGGTGAAGAGGGTCCACTTCTATATGTGAGATGTTTGGGGATGTAGTGGGATGAAATGCACTACACAAATGCAATGAATTATTCTTTTATTAATTAGAAAAGTGTCAAGAAGAAACTAGGCTGAGTAGGCACATGGGTTGCAAAAGACAATCTGATCATATTTAGCAATAAAGAAGAGATTTGACATTACCTATAATTAAGCCCACCATAGTACTCAAGTATCCTGTTCCACTTCCTAGGTTAAGGAAAGACAATCCCTGTTGAAGTTTCAGTGCTTCCATCACCTCAGAGTAAATGCATGGTGCTGACAAGTGAATATTTCCATGCTTCCAGGCCAGGTCCTTGTAGGCGTTCTCTCTGTAACCCTCTAGGTAGTAATCACCTCTGTCGATGGCTCGAAAGGCTTGTTCCACCTTCTCAGTGCGTATATACTGAGCCTCTTTAAGATTGTCAATCAAGTCATCATTATCCTCTCCAGCACTCACAGCTCCTCCCATGGCTGGTGAAGGAGAGAGCTCTCTGGCCTTCAAACTTTCAGCAACTTTTGATCTTCTCTTTCACTACAACAAGCAACGCTGCCACATGGAGAGGCCACTTAAGTGATGTGTTGGTACTCTTTAAGCAGTTTATCAGATCATCACAGCAAGTGTAGATCTGAAATATAGGGAGAGAAAAAAAGCAAGAAGTAATACATTTCATGTTAAGCTGCAAAATGCTAAGGCAGCAGATCATTACAAAGCCTCTGCAACACTAAATGTGTGTGGAGGGCATAAACATTGCTGATACTGTTAATGTCTGGATAAGGCTTTCCTCAAGAATATCCATTGACTCTTATGACAGTCATTTATTTATATTTATTTATGACTATATTTGGGAGAATGATATCTTAAATTTTGAACTAGAAGTTACAGACATTGTAAAATAAACAGTAAAGCCCTCAAGGAGCATTTCAAGGATTCAGGATTATTGTGCTGTGACCTACGTGGGCCTATGCCAAGTTCAGGGTCACAAGGATAAGACCTAAAAGGCTCTTACTCACAGAAAAATGTTAATATTCTAGTTTTTATTAAACCAAAAAAATAGATAAAGGCATATACTCTTAAAGCCACAGTTTGAACTATGGAACTATGGGTAAACAGACTTTATAAGTGGTCATATAAAAAAATATATGTAACAGTTTTAACACTTTCTTATCAGCATGATAGTTTATGAAACTTCCTTTAAGAACAGGAAACTGGTTGCAGAGCCTTAAGGAATTTCCTGTTAAACCTGTTCACCAACACAACAGTTCATTGTTTATAGTACAATGTATCCATTGTGATGCTTACTTACAGCAGAGGTTAAAATGTTTTTTTATTTTGTTTATTTTTCATGACTTTTCAAGAAACTAAAAGAGCTTTACAAGAGTACACACACAATACATAACAGAAGTAAAGATGAAAAAAGGTTCAGGCAAATGACTTAGTTAAATTCAAGAGTTGGAGTAAACTTATGCACTAAATCCTTAAAATATTCTGGAACTAAATCATTCTGTGCCCTAATATGTGTGAAGTAAAACCTTAAAGTTCATTCTAAATTTCAGGGGAATCCTGTGTTGAAGTGAAGACCTTTTAGCTAACATGATAAAGTTCTATGAGCATACTTGAATCTTATTTAGCACCTTGTGTGCCACAACATACCGGTGTGCCGTGGAAAGGTCCACGGTGTGCCACAGAATCAGAAAAGATAATATTTCAAAAGTGTGTACCATGAACTTCATGGACATCTTCCCAGTATTAAACAAAGTATTAGTCCTGTTAATTAAAAAAAAATTGAATTCTGGCAAAAAAGTCAAATATTTTACACAGCAAAAGTGTACTCAATATGGCAGTGCAAGAAATAATATTATTGGTTAATGTCATAGCTGATTATTTTGAAATAATTTGTTGTGCTGCAAAACTCTAGGACATTAATATACCTGGCATGGAAATACTTGTTTGGGAGATTCCACCCGAAGGCACAAAGAAAGGAGTTACAGTTGGGTAATCTTGAATAATTTGCAATCAGAAATATTTCATCATAAGACAGCCAGAGTCTATACTGAGGCAGATGAAAGAAAGGTGAGCTTGGGACATTCCTAAACCATGTTAAATGACAACATTGGTTACCAAGGTTTCTTATTTATCTCAAAGTGTTTTTTGGCAATGCTAGAATCAAACCTAAATTCATCTACTTTACAAAGCTGATATTAAATGCATCACAGCTTCATTTAAGAAATTTCTGTAGCATTCATAACCCAATGCCAAAAATATACCTGTAAAGTGCAGATAATGCAGCACCATCTCATTTCCTGTTAAAAATTACAGTCTTGAAAAATGCAATAGTTCCTATAAAGAACAAATTAGCTCGTATCTTCAGTAATGCACCACTCAATTTTTCTATTCTCTTGTGATATTGCTCCATAATATTTACACATCTTTTTCTTACACTAATAAAATTATATGATTTACAATGCGATCATATATACAATGTGTGCAAAAGTGTGTAAACAATATTTCACAGGGCAGTAGAAGGTCTTTGAAAGTTCATGTGTAGATTTTACTTCCATTTCATCCAATCTAATTACAGTTCCCAAAACAACTGGCTGCACTCAAACGGTGCCGTGGAGAACGAGAAGATACAAAGGACAGACCTAGATAATATCAGAACTAGAATAAGGTGCTACATTTAACAGCAAACAGAGCAATCTGATAGCCAAATATGAAAATAATAATAATTGCTTACGCTTATATAGCGCTTTTCTGGACACTCCACTCAAAGCACTTTACAGGTAATGGGGACTCCCCTCCACCACCACCAGTGTGCAGCATCCACCTGTCTAAAATGTCTAAACAGTGCAACAAATATAATGCAAACTGGAGGTGAGTCCTGTAACTTATTTTAAGATTATTTTTTTTTGTTATTTGAGAGACCTCAAACATTTAGAAAAATCACTCAGTATATTTATGCTGCTATGGCAGTTTTACAACCTTTCTACACAAACATATCACAGAAAATCTTTCCACCAGAAATCAAGTTTCAATCATTTCAGAAGCAGTATCACTGCTAATCTAACTTGAAAATGAATAATTCAGAACTTCTTGGTCATATCAGTTGTTGTCTTTTTCTGCCATTTTTCTTATTGGATTTTTTTTCCCATTTGGAAGGAACACTGATAGTAAGGTCAAAACATACAGCATGGGTACTTTTTTCCTTCTTGTGCACAAGCATACAGTATACTTCAGTTTAAATCAAAATTATTGTAGCATTTCAGAACCAGCACAGCAATTCATACAGTTGTAATAGGTTTGGGCACTCGCGGATACACCTTGTAAGGTCCTTCAGAGCTCTGACAAAATATCAGTTCTATACTGATACAGGAAATTCACACAGGATACCACACCACTTCAGAGACACCTCTGAACTATAGTTTGCCCATGTGAAAAAGGTTCAAGTGTCTTTTAGTTGAGTTCATCATTTTCACAGCTGGGTGCTTAGCTTGGATGCAAGTCTAATTCTTAGAAAATAATCTGCATATGGGGACTGATTAAAAAATATGAAGAGGAATACTGTATATTACTTGATCTATTTTTGATTTCTTTCAATGCTATAGTATTTCTCCTTTTCTCTTTATCTCATATAACTCGACAGCATTGTTGGTTGTGGAACGACATTCACTTCCCAAATGTAACCCCAGCTTTGGGATCCCGTATGCAGAAAACCCATTTACTTGGATTAAAAGGAAATCAATTTTCCCACCAGTCATTACGCACGGCTATAAAAAGGATGATACTTTGGAGACTACTAGAACAGAGTAACAGCTTTCTAATGAAAAATAATTACTCCATTTATTTAACCGTAGCAAATTAAATATGCAGATAAGTAATTAAATAGTGGATCTGGAAGCATCAATAATTGTGAAATGGAGATCTATGTATTTATTTCTATAATATCCCTGCTATTTACTGAGCACAGATAAGGCCAAAGGAAACAGCACACAAAAACATCTGAAATCATTTGAATTCAACAACACTGGACAACAAACGTATTTTGGAATTCTGAGCTTACTGTGTGTATATTTATATATATTTTCTACACATTTTTAAATAAAAATGTATTTTAAAAAATGTTACAGCTTACATTGATTGATTACATTTATAATCATATCAAAACCAACAAATTTACCCTAATTCATTTTACAGTGTTATATGTCCATAGCCGTTACGGCTACAAGTCCACCTTAGACAAGGGACAGTGAAAATGTCCTTTATAAATAGCATGCAATTCAGGTAAATGTTTAATCATTTGTAAGTCGAGACCGTGAAGGAAATAGTGTAAAAGGTTATTCAGATATCTTAAATACATGTGGATGCAATTTACAACACATCTAACTAAAGGAATATTAATTAGCATAACCAAACCAAGTTGTGTCATACCTACTAAAGGTGCTTCATATTCTGGCAAAAAGCTAAATACCGTAGCTCACCTGAAAATGTCTGGACAAAAACTGATGTAGAAATACCGATTTCCAGTCTCACCTAGATTATTCCTGTATGCCTGCTTTCAGCCAGCATGTCAGTTCTGAATGTGAATGACTTTGTGAATTTGTGCACATTAAGAGATGACCAGAAAGAACAAGAAATTCAGACAACGAAAGTACACAGGCAATACTGCTTAAGACCTCTTGGTTTTAATAACATCATAGAGAATGTTGTAACAGTATGTCACAAATAGGATCTACTGTACCACTACTGTGCACTAAGAAAAAAGAGCTACCAGCTCGTCGGTAGGTTTTGCAGCTGTCAATATTCCCTTGCCAGGTGCATGCTTTTCTGTTGTTCAATTTGCATTTTCAAACATTTTCATTAGAAAACGAATAGATTCTGCTACTAAAAGTAAGGTAAAAATCACAAAAATGAAAAAAAAGGTGTTTGTTTAGTATTTTGTTCCTGCAAATTGTCTGCATTATCTAAAGTACGAAAAATGTACATTCGATATTTTCAAACCATTTCAAAATGTGACATTTGCCTGATTAAAACAATCATTGGGAATCACTATAATGGGAAAAACAGTATAGAAAAAGTTTCCTTTGACCTTCACTGCACTTTAGTAACCATGTGAAAAGAAAACAAAACTGATAATGAGAAATGACTCTGCACGACATTACGCAAAAGCATTAACATCCCAAGAGGGATGCAAACTGTTATATCCTGAAAAGATATTTTGCTGTACCAATTGAACAAATTGTATTATTTTCTTTGCACACCTTCTTTGTATGTAAGAATAAGGATACTGATTAAGCTCCTATGTAAATACATGTCTTATTTCAATTCTATATCCATTCATTAACTCAGATCACCAATGTTAATAATCAAAACCAGTAATGAGCTAAATGTTTGCTTCCAACATGAAAATACTATACAGCACAAAGCACTAAAATAATTCATTTTGTGAAAATGGATACTGTTGCTTTAAATTGTAATTAAGGGTGGCAATCACTATACCTCTAGCTAGGTATACCTCACTATACCTCTATATATACAATCCTCAACAACCAGAGTATTTGAATATACAATTTCTGAAAGACACAAGTAACTATAGCTTTCAAATGTTCAAATAAGGCTAAAAGTATGACATTAAGGTTTAAGGGAAATTGTTTAAAAGGTTTGTCACAAGGTGCAATGTTTTTGTTATTTATATACCCATGGTATGCTGTGATACAGGGGAAAAAAAACATTAATAGAAAGTAATCCTTCCCAGAAGAAAAGCTATTGCCAAAGGTTGTCAGTAACATCAAGAAAATAATACTCCTTGAAACAAGCATTAAATTATGACTTGCTCAACCCATAAACATGTCTCACCTGCACTTTTTACATGTGTAAAAATTAATTTGCAAGTATTATTTTTTTAAATTAGAATAAGTAATAGGTTTATTCCATGCTGAAAAGAGAAGAAAGAAAACACGTTTCAGCTGAGGAGCCTTCTTCAAGTGCCACCTGAACTTATTTTTTAACTGTATAAAATACAATAACAGTTAATTACACATCATACCTGATAAAGTCCTTTGTTGTCAAATTTCCCTGTTCTCTAGTAAATCTGAAATGAGTAAGACTTAAGTATCACCTCACTGAACACTCAGCTTAATCCGAGTCTATTCTTTCACAAGCATGTTCCTCATCATGGAAATCCAAGGAGTAGTATTTGCTGTGTGGACCACATCTCTTTACAGGAGGCAGCTATTTCCAGATGTTCTGTCAAAGATGAAATCTATAATAAGAAAATAGGATAATAACTTTCACAAATGTGTTTTCTATTAAAAAGGCAAATATTTTGTGGTGAAAAACAACCATATACAGTAACGGAAATACAGAAATGACAGAAAAGTTTCAATTTACACATATTTACTTACTAAATTGTCAGTTAGCAGAAAAAAAGACGTTGCAGCTTATACAATCTATTCATATTGACAAAATGAAGTCCTTCTTCACATCTGTGCTGTATGTAACATGCTGAGGCAGGTTTGTGAAAATGCACACTGTTGGGAATGCAATGATTGAAGACTGAAGCCAAGCATGATGTAAAGATCTTCAGAGCAAATTTATATAGGTGATAGATAATTCAGTAGAGTTTTTTACGAATAAACCTTGTTTCAAAGAAGAAATGGTGTCAATGAGCACCTGATTACTCAAAAACCTTGGCTAAGGAGAGGAGCAGAACAGAAAGTATGAAATTTCCAATTTTTTTAGATGCATTTCAGAATTTCTTTTGTGCAATGTGGATCAATTCCTATTTCCCCATTTCTGGATTTTTGCAAATTTCAGGCAAACGTCCAGGATTTTACATAAATCTCCTGAAAGTTGACCCATCCCAATTGGACATTTCTTTACATTTCAATCATCTTGTTTTCATTTGTTGATTTCTGTTTTCCCTGAAACATACACTATAACTGATTACTTCAATCTCCTTAAGATGAGCAAGCTCTAAAAATGTGCCTTTTGCTTTCAGCTCACTGTTAACCCAACTACAATGCTCATTTCACTCTGGTTAATTTAGTTTTGTAAGACCCTGGAATAAGCTTCCTAACCCTGTTATTGAAGCTGTTACCCTGGCTTCTTTCACAGATGGCTGGAAGAGGTGCCTAGATTAATTAGCTACTAAATGATCTACCAAATGTCCATCTCTTGTTTATAAACTTTTACGTTGTCTCAGTCTTATTTAGAAATGGACTGGTGTGGTGTAAAAGATATGATTATACCCACATTATTCATGCGATTCCAATAAAGTCCATTGGTCTTTAATGTTTTCCTATTCAAGGATGTTAAAGATATACAACCTGATTATGTCAGATCTTAGACACCAAGCAAGGCTGAGCCTAATCCGGATAACGATGGAAGATCTTTCAGCCACCTTTTCACAAACATGGCCCTGGATCACCATACATCTTCTGGTTTTCATGTAAACTTGTTAAAAATGGTACAAAGTTTAATGAAATTTGATGCATTGCTTCGGCATTACTTGGTTTAACAAATCTTAATTTTTCTCAAATATTATTTGTGCTAACACTGAGATTTTACTTCATAAGCACTGCCACAATGTCTTGATAAGTGTTAATGTTTCAGGAGTATTGTACAAAAACTTAAAGGATGTTTAATTAAATGAAATAATATTAGGCTGAAATATGATTGACAAATATCTACCAAAACTAGATTTTTTTACTGCAGATATGTCAATGCAGATGAAATCACTACAATATTTTCAATAGGTGTTAAAGAATAATACATTTCTATGTTTCATATCACTCGGTAAATTAAATTAAACTATTTTGGTAAATACAATGCTCAGGACACATAAAAAAATCTTCTTAGCATGTTAGAAATAGCACTAGCATACTATTTCTGAGATTAATCAAATCACATAGGATATATATTTCTGTACAACTAATTTCTGGTATATTTAAAGAACTTAATTTGTAGCACGTTCAATACAGACTCTAAATAGAATAAGGTCCACTTACAAAATGAAAAAAATATATAAATAGTAGTAAATTCACACTTTGGAGGAGGGGCCTGCAATACTAGGATTAACAACTCATCCAAATATTTTAGCAGAAATTATAGCTACAGACCTTAGAATTAAATGACATGAGCCAAAGCCAAGCAAGCAAAAAAACCTTCATCTGGAGGCCACTCACTACCTTTATCTGCACCTCCACATCTGTCTCAGGCAGTGGCACTTTATACAGTGAAGATATCCCTCAATTTGGTTAATTGTTAATGGATAACAATGAAGTTCAGCCTTTTAATTCTGTGCATTTCACAAAAACCAAGAATCGATAATCCAATTCCCAGTATTACTAATTCTGCAGCACCCATTTTTGTTCATCTATGCTAGTTTATCCTTAGTTTTGTGTAGTAAAAATAATGCTTGGGCAAAAAAATATTTTAATTGAACATGAATATACTTTGGACACACTACTGATTACATGCAGAACATCACACAATTACACAAATGGTACTGGAAAAATCATACTAATTATAGACATTGATTAAGTGTTTTGGTGTCATTTTGATTCATTCTTCTTATTTTATATGATTTTCAAACCAGAAATGTATCATAATTATAGTGTTAAATTCCCTAATCAATCCAATGCCCTTCTGGAAAAGTGTAACTATTGGATGCCACCATCAAATGTGTATTTAGGTAAAATGCCATTACGATTGCAACCAGAAGAAGTTTTGAAGTACCACTTGTAGATAGTCTGAAAAACTTTTATCATTGCTGACCAAAGTTGGGGATAAATGATTATGGTGTCCCAATTTGAGGCCCAGAGATGGTTATTCAGCTGCTGAGATGACCAAAATAGTGGCAGAAGTGTAAACAACAGCAGGTAAAACACCATAATCCAAGCACATAAACTCACAGATTATTTTTAGTGTGTTTTAAGCAGCCTTTCTGAGGTGCTACTGATAAGATAGGGAGCCATCCAACATCATTTCAACACTTTAGCTACAAGGTCATTTTGCACTTTTTCTCCACAAAAGGTTGCTGCTCAGAAGCCGAGTACATTGTGATTTGCAGATGAAATGCAGAAACAATAGACTGGGTTTAGGTGCAGTATTTGTGGTGGGCACTTTGCTTGCAAATACTTTGAACAATACTGGTGCCAGGGCACTATCCTGTGGGAGTCCACAGAATTATTAAGTGATACTGACCTTCTGCCATAGCTAGATTACTATCTTTCTGTTGCACAACACTGTTCACAGAAGCTACAGTATTTCAGGACAAGACAGCAGCAGGGAAAATTTTAGTATCAACTCAATTGAGGTGATGATGTCAGCCTTGGCCCATGGGCCACCTTTAAAGCAGACTCTTGAAATTCAAAATCTATAACTCACATCATCAAAACACTCACAGCAGATGTTTGGTCAATGGAACAAAACAAAGCTTCAAAGTGATTACAAAAATTCACCCTAAATCCACGTATCTTGAAGAATGGACCAAGAAATAAAGATGCATCAACTGAATGTTGAACTAATGCAATTACATTCTGCTGGTTTTGTTTCACTTTAAGAGCACTATTCATTTTATACTTTTTAAAAGTAGCAGCAACATTACAAGAGATCCTTGAGTATTTACAAATTAACACTAAGTTGCATTGTATGTCCAGCACACCTGAAACCATATATTTACCCATGACTTAATTTTTTAAGAGTTCAATGTAAACACCATGGTTGCTACACTGTCAATAACCACCATTTGTTGTTTTTTTTTTTTGCCAGGGAGCCTACAGGGATTGACTACATCTCAACTTCTCACCAATATTAGATGCTATGTGCTTTTCAGGCAGTTTCTTATGTTTCAAGTCTCTTGACCTCTGGCACATTTCTGTCATATATTCTTCCACTTGATTTTCACATATCCTTTGTTAAACTGGCCAGTTCTAACATTCTGATCTTCACCACTCTGCCTTTGTGTGAAATATAATTTAAGATGCTTTCTAATACAGAAATTAGGTATGAGAGTTCCAAAATTTGGATTAACTTGTCTGAAGCCTTCGCCCTCGATTACACTGTAAATTGCGGCATCTTGGACAATGAAAACCATATGAGGTCATCTGTAACACCTGTTTTTATGACAGAGCAGTTTTAAAAAACAGGAACAGGTCTCTGATCCATGCATAAGGTTAAGAGTGTCTGAATATTTAAACTGCAGTAGGTGACTTTATAAACAACAACCTATAAAACTATTTAAAAACTAAATAAATCGGATAGGTCTTACTAAAAATGCAGAAAAATAAATTAACAAACTAGGCTAAAGCAATCATCTCGTATCAATCCAATAAAATTAGACTAGTTTAATTGTAATGCACTTATTAAACTAAACCTAATTAATATAGTAATTATACAATTTCACTTATTAATTAATTAAGAATGCCAATTAATATACTGACATAATTTCTTATTACTGTGACCACACACCTACTAATAATAATTTAAACTGGTCCCATGATCCCAGAGATTGTGATATGCCATATCTCATATTCAAGATATAAAGTGTTGAAAACTACTATAACTACTATAAAGGTTCAACATAACCTGCATGAATATGGCATTCATAGCCAGACAGTAAAGAAGAAACAAATAGAAGCAACTTACATTTGCCAAATCAATTGTAAACTGAAAGACAGTTGAATTATATCTTACCCTCAGATCAAGTGATAAATGATAGGTTTTTGAAAATGCTCATCAACATTATGTTGAGCATATAAAAGGAAAAGCATATATCAAAACAAGATGCACAGTCACTGTGAAATATGGAAGAGGGTGTCATTTTTGGGGGTTGTTTTGCATCTAAGGGTTTATTATTAAGATAGGGTGAATCACCAAGAACTCCATCACATACCAGGACATTTAGGCCAGAGTCCTGGTTCCTTCTGCCAATAAATTTAAGCTTGGCTGAAAATGGGCATTCCAGCATGACAACAATCCAAAGCATACATACAAACCGTTTACTTAAAATAAATGTTCTAAACTGTTGGCCATTGCAAGCTACAGAATTCAATCCAATTCAACACAGTAATTCAGACTCTAGGAGGCAGTTCTCAAGTCAGACCCTTTGGTTTAACTATTCATCTAATAAATGCTATTTTAAATGTATAGGCAAGACAATATCCGATCCATAATTGTTTTCCATGATATGAGGTCCTTTCTCCTTATTTTATCAGGTGTTTGAAGAAATTTACATTTGCAATTTGACCGATTACAGTA